TGTTCCTAGCGTCACTAGCAGTTGCGTTCAAAGATAAGATTTAAACCTCCTAAATATATCTTAGTCCCTGGAAAATTATAAGTATAAATTTTTCCTTTTGAAATATTAAAGAAATGTTTGTAAAGTCTAAAATACAGGCTATTACCTCACTTTTCCAGAGGGAAAACTCTCAGCAGCTTCAGCCCCTTGGAACATGGTCATGAACCTGAGCTGACAAATAGGGAGAGCAATTAATCAAGTGAAAGGAAGCAAAAAGAGTCCCTGGGCAGCTGAGCTGCCACTAGGTCCATGCACTCTTTATGCTCCTCACTAAGTCACACAACAGAGTGACTGAACATGTCAGTGACACAAAGACAGCCTTAAGATATGACTACTGCAGCCAAGGAGAAAAGGTGAGAAAGCATCAGTGGCCAGTCAACAAGAACTTAGGTGACTGGCAGAGAGGGGACATGAAAGACAAGTATGAAACCCAGTCTTTGCCTGCACGCAATTTACATTCCCTTAGGTGGCTCCATATGACATTGGCATTTTTTTAAGTAAAACCACCATTTTATAGTTAGTATCACCATTTTGATATGTTCAATCAACAGTCGAATAAGCAAAACAATCATATTTTAAACAATAGCAAAGAGTACAAAGCAGCATCAAGTTTTGTATTAAATTACATGATGTAAAAGTGATTTATGTGAAGCACAAAAGATCCAAACAGCTGAAGTTGCCAAAGGTGGCTTTCCAGATCATGCCAGAATAGATCTGAGCCATGAAGCCTGGGTGAAATTTAAATAAGTGTGAAGAAAAGAAGCGAAACTTTAGATAGAGGAAATGACATGGGTCATTTCCTTGTGCCTCAAACTGAAGGCACAAGAACAAGAGAAAGCATATTCTGCAGGAGGAAAAGTTTGCTCACAGCAGAAGGTACGTTGCAAGAGGTGGAACACGAGTCTGGGTAGAGAGCATGCAATCAGCTAATGGAAACACCTGCACACCAGGAAAATGTAAGGTCCAGTTTTGTCCAGTTCGCTCTGGCATCAAGTATATGGGACATAGTAATTCAATACAATTCTATGCAATGAAGGAGTAAAGAGTTTTTATTAATGATAAAAGAATTCACCAAGGCTTGAGGAAAGAGATGACATGTGATGAAAGTGGTATCTAAAACTGATTAGCAAATATGCTGTTTGGGTTGAAAAAAAAAAGACTGACATCTGGAAACAAAACTAGGAGACTGAGAGCAGTGATACGTGTGCTGGGCAAGATGGGAAAAGGGACTTACACCAGAGATGTTTAGAGAGAATCAGCATGAACTTTGAAAATGTTATGCTAAGTGAAAGATGCAAATCCCAGGAGACCACATATTGTGTGATTCCATTTATATGAAATCTCCAAAAGAGGTAAATCTGTGGACATAGAAATCAGATTATTGGTTCCTTAGGGCTTGGGAGCACTTTAGGGGGAAAAGAAGTACTTGCTCTTGGGTACAAGGTTTTGGGAAGGGTTAAAGAAGCGTTCACAAACTGATGGTGGTGTTGGTACACAACTCTGTGAATGACTGAAAGCCATTTAATTGTAGGCTTTAAATAGGTGAATTACACAGTATGTGAATTATATCTCAGTAAAGCTGTAATTTGAAAAGAGAGGGAATCAATAAAATGTGGTGAATGACAATACACATATATGTTTCTGATGGAGAAAATGGACCACTCACAAGACTCCATAATTTCTGTTTGATTCTCTTTGAAAAACAAGAATGTCCACTGACACCATCATTACTTAATATTGTTTGAGGAGTGATGGGTGATACAATAAGACATGAAAGATAAACAAGAAATGTAATAATAGAAAAGAAGTGACTAGATTATTAATTTCAGAAGAACCATATGAATCACCTAAAAATGATTTACGTTCCTGAAGATTCTGTAAGATACAGTCATACATACATTAATGTATGTACATACATTAGATTTTTGTATACATGCATTAGATATACACGAAAGTTAATATATTCTAATATGCCAGGAATAGCTAATAAGAAAAAAATATTACAAAGAAGTTTAACTTTGAAATACCCGAATATAATAAAAGTATGTGGCTTATACAAAGGCAGGAAACAAATTTTTGTTAAGCAATAATAAATGAAGGTTTAATAAAATGGATATTTAAAAAAAAGAAGATCAAAACTATGAACAGTAAAATGGCAATAAATACATATCTATCAACAATTTAATCTAGCCCTGGCTGGTGTGGCTCAATGCGTTGAGTGCCAGCCTGCAAACTGCAGGGTCTCTGGTTCAATTCCTGCTCAGGGCACATGCCTGGGTTACAGGCCAGGTCCCCAGTTGTGGGGCACAAGAGGCAACCAATCAATGTATCTCCTGAACATGGATGTTCTCTCCCTTTCTCCCTTTCTTCCCCTCTTTCTCTAAAAAATAATAATAATAATAATTTTTAAAAAAACAATTGAACGTAAAAATCAGACTAAGCAAACAAGAATAGAGACAGAATCATGGGTACGGAGAGTGTTTTGACGGCTGCCAGATGGGAGAGGTGTGGGGGTGGGTGAAGAGGTGAGGGGTTAAGAAGTACAAATGGGTTGTTACAGAATAGCCACAGGGATGTAACGTACAGGATAGGAAATGGAGCAGCCAGAGAACTTAGACACGTGACCATAGACACGGACAAATGGTGTGGGGATTACCTGGGGGAGTGGGGATTGCTGAGTGGAGAGGAGGCAAAGGGGGAAAACTGGGACAACTGTAATAGTATAATCAATGAAATATAATTTTAAAATGAATAAATGGAGATATAAATCAGGTTCTTGATAGGAAAACTAAATATTATAAAGCTATCATCTCCAAATCAACTTTTTAAAGCTTATTAAAATTCCTAGGTAGAATAAGTATACATTGTTGCCAGTGTAAGTTTGTTGAAATATTTCGAAAGACTTCAAAATGTTCGTACCCTTTGTCTCAAGGAAATGGTCTGGGTAGGGCAAAGCTTTATGCTCAGAATGCCCAGTCTGCTCCTTTAGATCCTAGAGGATGACCCTCAGGCCTTCCCCCAGGTCCTCTCATCCTCAGTCCCTTCCAACAACCTTCACTCACCTGGTTTCCAGAACTGTCTACATCCCGATGTTTTTCCCCGAGTGGACTATAGTTTGTGCCTCTCTTTAAATGTGTTGTTAACCTTGGTTGTTTAGGGAAGAGTAATGTAAGTAAAGCCAAATGGAACTGAAATATCGTTACCACAATTTAGAAATAACCCTGTGACACATTGGAAAGTGCTTCCTGGTGGCTGGGCACGTGACTTGGTGGTGGTTATTTCTTAGAAAGTGTATCGCGTGTTGGTGCTAGGAGGATACTTTACCGGGGTTTATTCAAGTTAATGGTCCTTGAGAAAGTAAGAATAAAAAAAGCTCTATCTGTGGCTTTCTGAAGGTCATAAAGAGGGAAATAAGTTTAAAAAAAGGTAGGAAATGGGCTTGCTTGACTCAAAAAATAGCCAGCATAACTTCTACTGTCTTTATTAAGAAAAAATTCACTCTTATAAAGCAGTAAACCTGATTTTTCTGATCTCTTTCTGAATCTTGATGCAAAAGTAATGTATGTTGTTTTAAAAATACAAAGAAGAGACAACTGTACATAAAGTGAAAGACTTGCTTTTCCAACTTGTCCCCTCCCCTTGAGTTAACTATTGTTATGTTCATTTTAAATTATTGTGAGACAATGCTGTGATCTTTAAAACCACGTTAGTTGTTATCACTACTATTATTCACAGCTTCATTTTTTGCAAAATACAGTATTACATTCTTTGTAGTCTTTTATTTTTGTGATGTCAGTTACTACTAATTTATTCTCCTTGGCATTGTAATTTCTTTTTAGGTATGATTAACATTGCCCTTAGACATTATTTTTATGTGAAATTTTCATTTAAACTATGTATTCATTTGAAAGTATCCATCTATTTCCAATTACTTCCAGTTATTTCCTAATATATTAAATTTCATCTTTTTTCTTATATCAGAATGGGCATGTGTACATATTTGCACTTATAGAAACAAAGGCACATGTTATCTTGTTAATGTATGAACTGCTGGACTCTTCAAAGCCCATGCAGTGTTAGTTAAGTGAGAAGGGGTCCTGCTAAGCATCGGTTCCAGACTCCTGGATGTTTGTGGGGCCACAGGTGAGATGACTGTGGGAGGCAGGCGCATGCAAGACATCAGTGGGGACAACTGGGGGGGGGGGGATACTAGTAGGGACAACTGTCAACCGGAGAGCACATGCACCAGAGGGAGCAAGCCGCCCCCATCACAGCCAATATCATCACATGTTAGAGTTCAGGCCTGGTTCTTCTAGATCAAAGGAGTTTTTCAAAAGAAGCCCCAAAGCTGGATTTTTATGTGCAATCTCCCAATTATTAAATTGAGCCATTATTTAAAAACACTAAGCTTTTAAAAAACTTTCAGGCTCAATGTGCCAAATTTGCAACTTCTATATATTATATACTTGTCAGCAGCAAAACAAACCTATTTTTCCACATTTGGTAAGTGTTCTTGGGGGAGATAGTGAAAAACTATCCTATTAACTCATCAGAGAAAGAGTGTTATTGAATTTACAACATGAGGTTCTACATTCCTATTTACCGTGCATGTTTTCAGTCTATTTTGGGAACTCCACCACATTCCTCCTGTACCGCACCATAGCTGTGAACTTGGTCTATGGAAGCAGGGCTCCCCATTTGTTGGCCTTCGATCCCCTACTCTACACTACAAAGAAAGAAGAAGACAAAAGAAGTTTCAACATCTTCATTTTCCAACCTCCAGTGGTTTAAACCAAAGGGTTCTTTTGGAGCAAAAATACTATGTCTTTTCTTTCTCAGAGTTGCTGAGAAATTATAATTAGAGGTTTTCCTGTTGCGTAAAGGAAAGGAATTCCAGTTCTCCTCATCTGCAAGATTTCTGTTCTCAATGACTCTTCCCTGTCCCGTCTCTCTTTCCGTAGGTAATAGAGGGAAAGCTGGCTCCGTTCCTGGGCAAGGTCATTAAATTTGCCACCTCACACGTGTACAGCTGCAGTCTTTGCAGCCAGAAGGGGTTCATCTGTGAAATCTGCAACAATGGGGAGATCCTCTACCCTTTTGAGGATATTTCAACAAGCAGGTACAGGATCGCTTGTTTCATTTATACCTGAATGTGTCACATGCAGTTTTATTTGGCCAGATTGGGCCAACTTTTAGGGAAAAACTCTCTTTTTCTCGCACCATGTATCACATCTCCCTTATTGTTGATGAGCATTTTTTTACCCTTTGGTTTTCTATATTTATTTCCAATGCACCTCACTACGTCCACCCAGAATGAGATAACAGAGTTGCAAGGAAACATCGCCCAGCTCTGCCTTATTAGGTAACAAAGAGTGTTCAGATTCATTTTTAGAATGAAGACTGGGGAGGAAGAACGGTCACAGCCATTTCAGGGCCAAGTGATGGGCGGTGGGGAATCGCAGCTTCAGAGGAAGGCCAGAACTGGGTGGATTACTGGGAATGAAACTGGAGGACACTGGTGACCAGCCGTATGGCTCACCACATGCATTTGTCCACACATGCCTTGCAGCGTAGTGATGAAAGTTTTAGGACCAAAGGAGAGAAAAGTGGGAGTTCATGTGGGATTACTTTTCTAACCAAAGTAACATTTGGGCACCATCACATCCATTGATTGATGGATGATTTTCCCCACCAGCTTGAGAGCAGAATTTTTACCACTGCTTTTCTTGAGTCTCAGAATGATATATGTCCCTTTTCCTTTTTATCCAAAGAGCATGATAGAAATACACACCGGGTGTATGTGTACACTGGCTTCTTTGGGCATGAGCATCCTGGTCCATTTCCCACCCTGGAGCTCACTTATTCTGTGGTTCAGACAGAAGGTGAGGCATGAAGCCAGGGAGAGTGGAAGCGTGTAGGGTAGAGGCAAGATATTAAGAGTTGACTCAGCCCTTCTGGCTGCTTCTTAAACTCAAAGACTCTTTGTAAACATCCAGGAACCTTGGTTGTTCCCACACATGGAAAGACAGACAAAAACACACACTCTCCAGCCTCCAGTTTCCTGAGTGAACAGGTATTTAGCTCATAGCCTAGAGATTATACACTGCTTAACAGTGTATACCACACAAAAACCTGCACACAGATGTTCATCACAGCAGCATTCATAATAGCCAAAAAGCGGGAACAGCACAAATGTCTATCAGCTGATGAGAAGATAAACAAAAGGTGTATGTCCACATAATGGAGTATTATTCAGCCTAAAAAGGAATGAAGTGCTGATACAAGCTGCCATGTGGATGAACCTTGAAAACATTATGCTAAGTGAAATAAGCCAGACACAAAAGGCCATATACTTTACATTCTAATTATAGGACACATCCCAAATAAGCAAATCCATAGAGATGAAGTAGAGCAACAGTAGCCTGGGGCTTGGGGACAGGGGAGTGGATACAGATATTTTAGGGAAGAGAGAAAAATGTTGTGCAATTAGATTATGGTGATAGTTACACGGTCTTGTGAATACTCTAAAAATCAGTGAATTGTATACTTTTAAAAGAGCAAATTATGTATTATGTGAATTACACCACAGTAAAAACGTTTAATAAAAATTAATATTAAAAAGGCTTCAAACTGAGCTCTGGGTAGTGTGGCTCAGTTGGTTGGACTATTATCCTATAGCCAAAAGGTTATAGGTTTGATTCCCAGTCAGAGCACATACCTCGGATGAAGGCTTGATCCCTGGTGTGTGTGGGAGGCAACCAAGTGACATTGCTCTCTCCCACCCGTGGTTCTCTCTCTCCCTTCTTCTCTTTCTTCCTCTTTCTCTAAAAGCAATGAAAAATGTCCTCAGGTAAGGATAAAACCAAAATTTTAATGCTTTAAATTGAATAAACCGTTGCTGGACCACAAAACATGACTCAGTAGATGTTAAAAGACTGAAACTATACCAAGTATGTTCTCTGACACATAGAATTAAGAACCCCAGTTAAAAAGAATCTGAGGAACCTCAAAATATTTGGAAATAAAACAACACATTCTAAAAACTCTGTGACAAAGAAGATATCAATTACAAAAGACATTATTAAATATTTTGAAATGAATGAAAGTGAAATACAAAATTTCAAAATGTATTGAGTACACTAAAATAATGCTCAGAGTGAAATCTAGAGCTATAAACACCTACATCAGAAAGGAGGGGAAAAGGGTTCAAGTCAATAACACAAAATTCTACCTTAAGAAACCAGATAATAACTAGTAAACAAAATCCAAAGCAAGAGAAGGAAGGAAAAAATAAAGATTAGAGCAGATATCAGTGATGCAGAAAACAGAAAAACAATAGATCAGTGAAACCACAAGTTGGCTCTTTGAAAAGATCCAATTTAGGTAGACTGACCAAGAAACTGGGAGTAAACACAAATTGCCAAAACCAGAGTGAAAAGGGTACAGCAATTAAAATAATTATAAAGAGGTATATATAAACAACACCATACTAATAAGTTGTAAAACTTAGATGAAATAGATAAATTTCTAAAAAAATAAATTACCAAAAGGGACTCAGTAAGAACTAGAAATATGAATAGACCTGTAACAGGTAAAGAAATTGAATTACCAAGTTTTAAATCTTTCCATAAAGAAGGCAAATGGTTTTCATGGTGAATTTTATTGAATCTTTAAAGAAAGAATACCTGTCCTTCACACAAGAGGGGCATTACATAGTGATAAATGGGTCAGTTATCCAAAGAAAGACATCAATACTTAATTTACATGAAGAGAGAATCAAAACTCATGAGGCAAAAATTGAGAACCACAAGGAGATATACATATTACATATCGATATCAATATGTGTGTGTATATAAACACAGATATACATATATACACGTGTGTGTATGTGTGTATCTAAAGTTTCATTTCACCAGACCTGCCCAGGCTCACCCTGATATTTACAAGGACTAGGGAAAGAACGTGAATGGATGTCTCCAGCTTCCCAGCCCAAACCGTGCTCTGCATCACAAGGCCACACACATGCACATGCAGACACCTCAGCTGCTTCCTCCTAACTTCATACACCGTGTCCCCAGCTCAAGTCACCCCTCAGGTCTATGAGGACACACTGGCAGCGGGATCAGCCCCCAGAAAGACAAGCCCTGGGGGAAAATCCCAGGCAGCCCTGAGGATAGACTTTGGGGGCCAGGAATTCTGAGGCCCTAGGTACATTGTCTAGAAGGAAGGGGCTCCAGGAAGGGCCCCTTCTTGGCCAGTGAGAGGTGCAGGCAGAGGAGAAACTAAAGCAGAGCCTAGGTCAGCCCATTTGCCAAGATCTAAGGGCAGTACTTGGACGTTCTACTGGGGAGCAACTCTCTTAATGCAGTACTCCATCTTCCATTCTTATAGGACTATGATAAAGTAATCGTGTCATAAGAGAGGCTCTGCTACACTAGAAAAGGCTGTGGGTTGGGGTCAGGACCTCTGAGTTACGACCCTAGCCACAAGGCCTAGGATCATGAGTTATACTTCTTAGACTTGTCTCTTGCAGCACCAGGTACCATGATAGCCCAGAGTAAGATCTCATGAACAATTCGTATTTGTAATGTCAAGAACTACTGAGATTCCAGAATTCAAGTTGGTTTTCAAGAGTGATTTTTTTTAATGTTGTGTTTTGTTTTTGTGTCTTTTTTTTTTCCGTGACTCTAACCCAAGGTCCAAACCTGTTCCTACCAGCTGGATGGCCCTTTCCTTTCTTACTTAATCTGAAATTCCCCAGTGTCTAAAAGTAGACGTGTACTGGGATGACTTTATATTGTTTGCATGATTGTGGTTTGGGATTTGAAGTCCTTAGAGGACAGGCATCAGTTTAAAATCACATCCGGCAGAGAAATGACGAGTAAAAAAGAATGCGAGGCATCTTCTGCAGGCATTTGAGGGGTCCCCTGCCATTTTCAGAAAGAGATTTTCACCCTTTCAACACAGTGATGCCTTTAATTTGTGGGGGAGGAACAAACTTTTCTCTACCCTCGAGGTTTTTCTGGCTGGTTTAATAATCAAGTAGACATGAGATAGAAGAACAAGGAAAACATAAGCAAATTTAATACATACCGATGTATGGGAACCCTGCATACATGAGTGAGTCAGAGGTCCCACATGCAGAGAGAAAGGGGGACGGAGGTGTGTAAGGCATCCTGAGCTAGGGATGAGGGGAAGGGCCTTGGGGCTGCAAAGGGTCACTGCAGGGTGACAAGGAGAGCAGATGCTCAATAAATAGAAGTTTGTCCTGCTATGTAGTTACATATGTAACCACCATTATACTTCAACACCCCTCTGTCAGTAACTGGCGGAACCAGCAGGCAGAAAATCAGTGAGCACTATCAGCGACCAGCTGACATCTTTGTCCATTCATGTGGTTCATCCAGTAACGACAGGATGCACATTCTTCTGAAGCTCACACGGAGCATTTACCAAGGGAAATCGCCTTCTGGGTCATAAAACAACTCTGAACAGACCTAAAAGCCTAGAAATCATGCAAAGTACGTTGAAATTAAACTAGTAATCCATAATGGAAAGATACCTGGAGTAACCAATATGCTTCTAAATAACACAAATTGATAACTTATGTCCACCCCAAAAACTTGCACATGGATATTTGTAGCAGCTTTAACATAATCACCCCAAACTGGAATCAACCAGGTGGATAGATAAATAAAATGTGGTACAGTTGACCCTCACCTCAAGGTTACAGGCTCTGACCTCAAATACAAGTACACCCAGTCCTCTGCATATGTGGATTCCCAGCCTTGGAGTTGGCCCTTGAACTGCAGGTTTGAACTGACTGTAGGATGTTCAAGGACCAACTGTGTGTTCATATAATGGAATATTATTCAGCAATTAAAGAAATGAGCTCTCAAGCCAAAAAGGGACACAGAGGAACCTTAAACACATATTTCTAAGTGAAAGAAGCCAATATGAAAAGGCTACATACTGTACGATTCCTGAAAATATGATACTCTGGAAAAGACTAAACTATAGAGGGAGTAAAAAAATGAGTGGTTACCCGGGGCCTGGGAGAGGTCGGGGAGGGATGAATAGGTGAATCACAGGGGAACTTTAGTGCAGTGAAATTACTC